GTGGTTTTAACCCAGATCCAGGAGGGTTTAACCCTGCCGGGGGCGGGAGGAGTGGAGATGTGGCACTTGGGGACACCCTACAGCAGGAGCTGCTGGAGCAAATCCAGAGGAATCCATGGAACTGCTCCCAGGGCTGGAGCCCCTCTGGAGCCAGGCTGGGAGAGCTGGGAATGTTCACCTGGAGAAGGGAATACAGGGAGAGCTTCCAGAACATTCCAGGGCCTAAAGGAGCTCCAGGAGAGCTGGAGAGGGACTGGGGACAAGGCCTGGAGGGACAGGACACAGGGAATGGCTTCCCACTGCCAGAGGGCAGGGATGGATGGGATGTGGGGAAGGAATTCCTGGCTGGGCTGGAATTCCAAGAGCAGCTGTGGCTGCCCCTGGATCCCTGGAATGTCCCAGGCCGGGCTGGACAGGGCTTGGAGCAGCCTGGGATGGTGGGAGGTGCCCATAAATGTTGGGATGGGTCACTTTTCCCCGTGGACCTGGGCCATGTGGAATTTTCACGCTGGGCTCTTGACAGGTGTGATGGGAACACCTGGAGCTGAACAATTCCGTGCTTTTATTCCCAAACCCTGGAGCCGAACAGGCTCCATCAAAGGCCGAGGGCAGGACTGAAGAACAAAACGAGTTCTTTAATTGCCAAAAAAACCCCCATAAAAGCAGGAGTGTGGGGGGTGGGGAACATCAAACTCAGGCCAAATGGAAACCACAAAAATAAACAGTGCTGAAGCAAATCTGGGAGCTTTCCAAGCCAGGCTCCTCAGCTCCTGGAGCAATCAGGAATATTTGGGAGCAAGGCAAACGAAGAGGAGCATTCACGTGCAGTCGCCACTTCCCGGAATTCCAAGCCCTCTGGAGAGGGAAGGGTTTCCATCTACTGGAATTCAGGCTTCAAAAAGTCCCTGGCAGCCACACCTCATCCATAAGATTAAAGCTGGGAAAGGTCCAGCAGCATTTTCTGATCCCAAAGCGCCTCTGGAAAAACACTGGGAAGGCTCCCAGCCTGTTTCTGTCACCTTGCTCTTCCTGAGGCCCCAAAAGCAGCAGGGCAGACCCCAAAATGACTTTTTGGGATGAGAGATGGGACAGAGAGGCCAAGCAGAGCTGGACTGAAGATGCTCCACGAGGTCTCACTCAGACCTGTGGAGCTTTTAGGGTTTTTGGGATGGTTTTTATCAGCCCCACTTTGAGATAAAGGCTCTTGTTTGATAAATTCGGCCCCCAAGTCACTGAAGTGGATTTTGCTCCGGCCCAAAATTGTGTTCCCAGTTGTTTTCCTTGCTGGACTCTCTCACTTTGCTCCATGGAAAACCCAACAAAGATGGTGTAGAATCCTAGAATCCCAGAACTGGTTGGAAGGGACCTTAAAGCCCATCCAGCCCATCCATGGCAGGGACACCTCCCATTATCCAAAGTTGCTCCAAGCCCTGTCCAGCCTGGCCTTGGACATTCCAGGGATCCAGGGGCAGCCACAGCTTCTCTGGGAATTCCAGCCCAGCCAGGAATTCCTTCCCCAGATCCCATCCATCCCTCTGGCAGTGGGAAGCCATTCCCTGTGTCCTGGCACTATATCCACATTAAAAAATAAATCCCTCTCCCTCCTTTTTGTTTTTATGGAAAACACAGAGATGAAACATTGCTTGGAATGACCAACCCCACAACAGGAGTGTCAATGGGATTCTGGGATTCTGGGATTCTGGGAAATGCCCTCCTCCCCTCTACTGGTTTAACTGGTTCTCCCCACAGGCACCTTTCACCCTTTCATTTATTTATGGCCATGCCAAAACTTGCTCCTTTTCCAGCCAAAAATACCAGGAGCAACCCAAGGACTGATCCAGGGAAACAAGAGCAGCCCCCGTTGGAGCAGTGATTTGTGGTCTGGGAGAAGGGGATTGCTCCAAATCTTTGGAAAAGTGATTTAGGAATGAGGAGATGGGAACAGTCCTGGTTCCTTGCTCAGCTTTTTTAGTCTCCAGAGTGAATCCAAGCACAGCTGGATTCCAGGGAATGTACAGCTGGATGAGTTCCAGGAGCCTGAGAGGTGTCACCTCATCCAAGTGTCACCCTGCGTGGGATCCATGGCAAACAATGCCAAACCTTCCCACACCTTCATCAATTTCATTTCAAAAAATAGGAAAGGAAAATCTCTTCAGGATCTCCTTTGGAGCATCCATCAATTCCATTAAGAAAATGGAAAATTAAAATCCATCAAGGATCTCCTTTGGAGCACTCAGGACCTTTTTGGGGTTTCTCAGTTTAGGGTGATCTAAATCACACTGGGAAAGGGATTTTTGATTTGGAAGGTGGAGGATTTCACTGGGAATGTTTCAATGTGGCAAAGAAAAACAGATCTAGAACAGAAATGGAGAGGAAATCTGGGAATCTGAACCAGGGAAAACATCCCAACGTGGAATCCAGAGGGAGTGACTCCAGGAACAGGAATTTCCTCATGGAAAGGGTTGATAGGAATTGGAAAAAGCTGCCTGGGGAAGTTTGGAGTCCCCATCCCTGAGGTGTCCAAGGAATTCCTGGATGTGATTCCAGATTGGGGCTCTGGGGACAAGGTGGGGATCGGGCACAGCTTGGACTGGATGACCTTGGAGGGCTTTTCCCACCACAGTGATCCCGGGATTCTGGGATTTCCAGGCTGGCATGTGCTGCTGCCAGTCCCAGCGCTCCACTGGTGCGGAGCTGGGTGGAAATTCCATGGTGTAAGTGAAAAAAACTTTTCCAGGGATGAAAAAGTTTGGTCACTGAGCAGAGGAGTGGCCTGAGATCCAAATTTCCCAATTTTTCAATTTCCCTACCCAATCATGGCCTCTTCTCTCAATGCTTTTGAGACCAAAAGGCCCTGGGCTCATTCATGGAGCACATTCCCAGTGGTGTCCTCCTGGAATGTGGAGAGAAAAATGGCAAAAAAAGAGGGAAATTCATGAGAATTTGGGGTTTTCAGCCATCGTGGTCACAAGGAGGAACGAGGTTTGGATTCATCCCATTCCCAGAGGTCGGGAGCTGCCAGGATTGCTCCACAGGCTGGGTCACCCCAAACTGGGGAGCAGCACAAACCTGGCCAAAATTCTGCTGTTAAAAACCCATCATTTAGCTGAAGAGAAAACCATGGGAATTGAAACAGCTGAAGTTTTTAATGGGATCCACTCCCACTTTTGGAGTCCAGCACGGGGAAATCCATCATCTGTAGATATGAAAATATCCCAAATATCCCAAAACCAACAGGACTCCAGCTCCTAAAAACATCCTAAAAACATCCTAAAAACATCCCTGCTGATGCAGAACCGTTTCCAAGCTGCTGTTGTCCAAAGGTTTCCCTCACTGCTGAAACTTGAGGAATTAAGACCATTTTCCCACCTCTTCCCAAGATTTTTTTCCCAGGCTGCTCTGCCCCGTGAGCTCCAGGAAGGGATGGGATTTGCGATTCCACGCTTTGGGAATTTTTTGGTCGCAATTTTGGTCGCAATCCAGCAGCGTTTTCGTCCGTTCTGCTTTTTGGGGTGGGGTTTATTCCCCAGGCTGATCATTTCCAGACCTCAGAGCCTCCTCTCATTCCGGGGTATTTGGGTGGAAGTTCTGGGATCCTGGAGAAAGGCTGGGAAGTGATGTGGGATGGGGAGGGATTTGAGCCACGGATCCCACCCAATGGAGCATCCCCATTCCAAGCACGGAATTCCCTGTTGGAAGCATCTAAGGAACTTCCAGAAGGTTCAGCTGGAACTGAAGAACTCAGGTCCTACTTTTCCCATCACCAAAAATTTCCCCTTTCCCTGCCAGCTTTCCCAGAGCTCTGGAGGGATCCTCTGGATCACGTTCCACGGAATTCCAGAATTATTTAGGTTGGAAAAGCCCTCCAAGGTCATCAAGTCCAAGCTGTGCCCAATCCCCACCTTGTCCCCAGCCCCTGAGTGCCACCTCCAGTCTGTCCTTAAAGAAATAATATTAATGTTGTCGGGGTATTCATAATAATATTAATCTTTACAGGTTATTAATAATATTAATATTGTTAATATATTAATAATATTAAATAATAACGTTGCCAAGATTAAAAGCATTGGAAAGGGAAAAGAATAATGGGAATAAAATAATTTTTTTTTTTTTTTTTTTGTCTTTCTTGCCTGCATTTCCTGACCAGAGAAAGGGTGGCCTCTGGCACCAGCCCTTCCTGGGGTTTTGATTTGGAATCCCATGGATTTTTTTTCCCCATGGGATGAAACTCGTGGCTGTTCCACAGGGAATTAGAAGGAAAACAGAGGGGTAAAATCCCATTTCTGCCATGGAACGTCAGGCTGAGCCCATTTCTTTATAAAATATAAATAAGTTAATTAAATCTAAATTAAATCTAAATTAAATATAAATTAATTTAAATATAAAATAAAATAAATATAAAATAAAAAACAAATGGAAAAGGGTAAAAGGGGAGGACACAAAAATGTGCCCTGATGGTGCCAGGCACCCACCCCAGCCATGGCACAGGACCCCAACCGCTGCCAGCTTGGAATTCTGATTTATCCCATGGAAAAGTCAGCCAGGGATCCCTAAAAATAACCAGAGACACTCCCAAGGATGAGATTTTAAGCCTCCACTTCAGATTTTCTCTCTCCTGTAAATATTAAGCTGCAGGATTTGATTTAATGCAAGGAGGCAGGGAAATTATCCCTAAATTTGCGTTGTACTCTTGAATCCAAGTGTCCCAAAGAATATTTAAGGAGCCTCACAGATCTCTTTTTTTAAATTTTTTTGTCCTTTTCCACATATTTTTTGCTCCAAGTTGGATTTGCCAGCCTGGAAATTCATGAGAAGGTCACAAAATAAAAATGCCAGTAACAAGATAAAGAATAAATCTGATTTTCCCTCCTTTGCAATATATTTTTTTTTTGCACAATTCCAATCAGACTCAGAATTCCAACCTTGTCTCATGTCCTCACTTTGGAGTTTCCCCCCCCCCCCCCCGTTTTTTCCAGAGATTTCTCCCATTTTTCACTCACCTGCTCCATGGGGGACAAAAAGGGAAAGGGGAGCTCCCAAAATTCAGCGTTTTTGAGATGTTTCATCCTCTGAAGCCTCACCGGGGATGGAAAAGGAGCTCAGCACTCCGGGACGCACTGAAAATCCTGTGGATTCCAGGAAAAATCAAGGAGCTGGGAGTCAACCCTGCTGCCTCTCGTGCTGCCAGGGAGCTGCAGCTGGTGCCAGGGAAATATTCCTGCAAAAGCAGCAGATGTTGGGAGCGAGGGATGAGGGAAAGTCACGGGAGCTGCAGCCGGAGGTTGGGATTTGTTCCCTCCTAACGGGAGCAGAAGAGCAGGAAAAGCACCTGGAGACGGCTCCGTCCTTCCATAATCCAGGGATCCAGAACTCCTGGATGCACCTTGGAATGTGTTTCCATTCGCCAGCCTGCAGGAACTTCTGGGAATCTTGAAATTTTGTAACCATTGAATTATTTTTTTTTTAATGTTCTCCAAGTCCGGTGGTGATGATTTCCACGGGTTTTCATCCCACTTTTTATCTCCTCAGTTTCCAGCCTCAATCCTTGGTTTCTTTTGTTGCCACTCAATTCTTGCACAAGGAAAATCCCAGAATTCCCCAGAAAGAGGTTTTGGGTTCCTGTTCTCCCAGGAATCTTGTGATGGGATGAGGAGGAAAGGCATCAAGTTGTACCAGAGAAGGTTCAGGTGGGATTTTAGGAAAAATTCCTTCGCTGATGGAGTGGTCAGGAATTGGGACAGGTTTTCCAGGGAAATGGTGGAGATTCCATCCCTGGAAGTGTCCAAAAAAACAACTGGATGTGACACCTGATAATGGGATTTAGGATATTCGGGGTTGGACTTGGTAATCTTGGAGGTCTTTTCCAACCCAAATCATTCCATGATTCCACGATTTGGGTTTTTAAAATCTGGGAGAACTGCTTGGGAATACTGTCCATGCATCGTGGTGAGATCCAAAATGACATTGTGACCTGGAAAGCCCTGGAGTGTCCTGGAGGTTGGAAAATCCACATGGAAATAGGATTCCCTTGAGGCTGAGCTGCAGGAAAACCCTGGGAGCCAAGGGGGAAAAAGGTAATTTATGGACAAGGGGAGTAATTTATGGAAAACTGGAGTAATTTATGGAAAAATGGAGTAATTTACGGAAAAATGGAGTAATTTACGGAAAACTGGAGCGATTTATGTAAAAATAGAGTAATTTATGGAAAAAATGAGTAATTTATGGAAAAATTAAGTAATTTATGTAAAAATCGAGTAA